TAGGAAGAGTTCAAGATACGACTCACGCGATTTTTGGGCGGGACTGGGTGGGCCGTCCACCTCTTCGCGGCTTCGCTGAAAAACTGAGCAAGAATGGTTTATTTTCGCGCCAAACCAGAATTTATTATCGGTAATTACGTAATCGCAAGTGAGACCGCTAGACTAGCCATGAAAGAACCCATTATTGAATTATTTTAACCTCGCATATCATTATGAGTGTTGTGAATAGTATTCTATTCACATACATTCATATTCATGCTCAGTTCTAATAAGGTATGGGAAAAAAGATTGATCAGCGCCCAACAGCCCTCACTGTTCCTTAAATAATCTTAGATAATTGCACTCCGACTCTCAAATCCTCTTACAACTTCCCAATCCTCAATCCTCCAACCTCTCTCATAACTTTAATCCCCAAGTACAGTAAGACACAGCTATACGTTTACAATTATAATCAAACTAAACTGGTATGAGTTTCCATAACAACATCTCTTCATTAAAGAAACGATAGCACAAAGGTTATAATCCATTCCAAAAACACCCTAGCCAAACAAAGTATCCTCATTCTGCTGGGCGTTTCCTCTGCTCAGCAGATGGAAAAGCACACACAAAACGTTTCAGCTGATTCACATCCTGCCATGGAGCCACCACATTCTCAGCAGAAAGCGTAGCAAGTCGTCCCGACGGGCCATCATGTTTCAGAACCTTGGCCAGCTCAAGGTAATATAAGGCGGTATGCCCCCTAGCCCAACCCACGTGTTCCATAATCTCAGACAGATCCGCTCCTGTGAGGGCCAACGTTATCGCACAACCCGAACGAAAGCCATGCAATGTCTCACCATCATCAGCTTTCATCCGCTTGAGATACACTTTAAGACGCGCATCTGCTGCTGAAGAACTAAATGGAGAATCTTGGACACCATTATTAGAAGTTGTCGGACGAAACAAATATCCCTTTGTTAAATCAACGCCTAACTCCCTTGCCACTTCGACATATTGCTCAACGCCCTTCACAGGACAGATGACCGACTGGGGATTTCTGCGAACACCAAAGACATTACTGTCACCATCCCGCAAAGTCTTACCCCAGATATGATTAAATAAGAACCCATCATCATTTGGAAAACGAAGGATCTCCGGAACTTTTACCTGACCAAGATCTCCTGGGCGGTCCCCACTAAAGAACGCCAACTTAAAATAAGCTTGGTCACGTGCGATAATGAAACGGTCAAGTTTCGACTTTGATCTCGCTAGCTCGCCTTCAAGATACTTCGATAACTGAGTCAATTTGTCCACAAAGAATGGCGTGGCTTGTTTTGGAGTAACACGGGCCTGTAACTGCTCCGCGGCGACAAGACGAAGGTAATCTTTAACCAATTTATCAGAGGCTGGGTTACCAAGACCTAGCCGCTTGTCCCACTCTCCGTCCCGACCAATGGAATGGAAAATCGATCTTAACTTTCCTATGTAAGAGTCCCCAGTCTTGTACGACAATCTCAAGGGGCAGCCACATGACTGTTTACCACGCTGACCCAAAAATTCACACGTATTATATTGAGGTGTACCTGTGTTTTGCCACGCTTGTCTTTAAAGATCAGGAAGCGACACAAGTCCCTAGGCGTCACTGTCGCGAGGGTAACAAAACCCGGCAGAGCACCAAGAAAAGCCTCAAGTTCCCTCTGAAGAGAATCCTTCTGCTTTTTATAACTGGTTGCCTGATCGTAGTGAAGTAACGGCTGCAATCGCACTTCAATTCCATCAAGGTCAACGATAACATCAGAGTGTTCCTTGACAAGCGTTGTCATAACCTTTCGCTTGTAGCCACAACGTTGACAAAAACGGAAGTCAAAATCATTAGCGTGTCCACAGGTTGGGCATTTAACCGACTGGACAAACAGCTTTGCCATGACTGGAAGCTCCTACAAACCAGAAAAGAAGAACCCTATCATACACCACAAACCAGTAGCACAACAGATCAAAATGTATGCCAAGACACACCTAAAAACACACTGCAAAAACCCAGAGATCTCCAGGAATGCCCTTGTGAGACAGCCACCCCTTTTTGGACGGGACCAAGAGAGCGTTGCCATCGCCACGAACAGCCAGACATCTACTCTTTACAGCTTCATTCATAAGGAGAGGCCACCAGTACTTCTTGGGAAACACGTCCAGCACCACTACTGTGCACGACTGTTTAAAACTCTGCAGAAATTTTAAGACAGGTCCCGTTAAAGCCATGGGAGGAAAAACATACGGTCTGGCCATAAGCGCTCCGAGGGAAGCAAGGTCCTGTGTGAAGAGATTTACACCAGACGATCCGGGAGAGGGAATCGGCGTAAAATGAGGGAGAGAATACCCCGTGCGCATCCGTCATACTATTCGAATCCAAGGCCATAAGGTCGCAAGTATGGCCTTCCCTACCACCAAACTCCTTCTGAACAATCTGCCACAAGCCATCCGACAATTTACTATCTGAGTGGGACAGGCGCCTTGATGGAGCATCAGCAGGATTCTGACCAGTCGGAATGTAAGACATGTGCAGAGATAAGCTAAGCTTCGACGTTGTGAAGAAAAGCCGTTTCAATGCCATATTAAGCTCCAAGCTTCTACCACCCTGGTTGTTCCAAGCCTCGACAACGACCTTATTGTCAACAAAAGCATCAACTCTAGCATTGAACAGTTTGTCTTTAAAAGCCATTAACGCCATGTCGACCGCAGTAGCTTCCTTCGCGGCGATCCCCCATTTGCACTGCTCTTCCGTCCAATAATCTGATATTTCCTCACGATGAGGGGCTAACAAAATAGCACCCCAGACTGATGCGGAAGCATCAGTTGCAACGGACACACGAATATGACGCTCATCCCGCCATGTTACCGGATCATCCCAACCTTCCAAAAACAGCCAATGGGAGATCTCCTCACGCAGATCCCCCCTGATGGGTATTAGCCTGTGGGGAGTACGTTGGCCACCGGCAATAGCTGCATTCATCTGCTTTGTAAACAACTGGGCTGCAGGTACTGCTAGACTAAAAGAGACACATTTCCCAACCAGGCGTTGCAAGGTTTTCACCGTAACCTTAGAGGCATGGAGTATTTTACGGACAAGTTGCAAGAATTTCTCCTTCTTTTCGGGCTTTAAGCAGAACACCTCCCTAGAAGAATCCGCTAAAAAACCGAGGTAGGGAACCACTTTACTTGGGAACAATATTGACTTTTGCAAACCAAGGAAATAGCCCAAGGTGACAAGATGGTAAGCAACAAGAAATAGAGCCGACCTAGCCGCCGCAAGATGACGATCATCAACAGTGTTAATAGTAGCGTATTCCCCCTTATCGAGTGCCACTTGCAGTTCGCCATTGTGTCGATCATCGATGTAGAGCAAACAAGGGATTCCTGTAGCTCTAAGGAAATCACTAGCCAACAGGCCAGTAGTATGATATACAAACGGGGAGATCTTCCACCCAAAAGGAAGGGTATTATACGTGAAATACCACCCTCCCCACTGGATCCCAAAATACTTGCGGCTGTCTTCAGAAAGAAGAATATGGTCATAGCCAGACTTATCGTCTAGGACCGTTTGGTAGGTATCCTTGCCCACGTAACGCGGTAAATCTATCAGCCTGTCTAAAGAGAAAGGCATATCACGCATCCATAAATTAAGATAGCGCGCATCGTGACATAACCTTGGCTTTGTTGGCTCAACTGTAAGGGGAAGAACAATAAATGGAGGGTCAACCACACCCACTCTCCCCAACAGCGAAATAGCTCCAGATCTCAAGCGCGCAACTAACGTTTCCTCCACAAATGACACAAAGGGCTTGCAAGAGACATTGTTCTTAAACACCTTCATCGGAGGCTCGTCTGAATCGAACAATTCTCCTTTAAAACTTCCTTTAAAATGCTTGAAAAACGGCTTAATCGAGACCTTGTCCCTTATCCACCCAAGAATCTGTGCCTGTTGGGGTGACGAGCTATCTCGCGCAATGTACTGCCAATACTCGAAATGGTTATGCAATTCTCCAGCTCGAAAACAATGTGGGTCACGGAACAATAACTCCGAAATATCACCAATTAACTCTCCCCTCTGTATTCTCTGTAATCTAACACGGTCACAGGCTGTCACTTCTCCACTGACCTCGACGGGGTTACCGAAACAATCGACCCAGGACATTGGAAGCTCAATTTCTTTGCCTTGTAACTCCTGAAGTCGAAGATCAAAGGAGTCAGATTTTTCCCAACACCACATGTTTCCCTAGGAAAAAAGGGGGTAGTGAAGACACCTTTAAACACTGAATCGCCGAAAAATCTAAGACCATATTAAAATCATCCCCGTCAAAGTCAGCAGAGAAATACCAGCTAAGACCAGCGAGGCTGGAGGGCCCTTGTCTCAAGGATACCCCTTTTTCACAGTCGTTATAACTATGTTGACAAAATAGACAGAGTAAAATATGCACTAGATTGATTCAATACACACAAAAGTTTGTTTATTATCGCCAAGAATTAAGCAATATTACAACACACAGCCTTGTCCAGGCGGCCTTCAACCTATAACACCGGTGCGAACTAACGAGATCTAAACACAAGCTACTTGTCTGATTTGGGATCCGTTTTCCTCTGCTTGGACTTCAAATCAGGACAATCAGCTTTGATATGACCTCGCCTCTGACAAAAATAACATCGCAAAGAAAAAAGACGAGACGGACGTGCCACACCAGCACCCCTGTTGTCGTTCGCTTGAGGCTTCTTGCGATTTGACTTCTTTTCTACTTTAGAAACGATATCCAGGACCCTCTCGTGGTCCTTGTCTCCTAATAGGCGCATAACAAGGTCCTTGAAGTGGTCCTTCGACAACTCCACCTTTTCCCTAGCCGACTGATGAACGAGCCGATAGTAGTTCTTCCTGTCATGATTACGGTCAGCGGCCTTGTTATGCAGAGTCTCCAACATCTCAAGCACCTCATACTTGTTAAACTCTGTCAACGGGCGGGAAGCATAAGCCAAGATCTGTTCCACGAGCTTCTCAGGCGACGCGTTGGTTACTGCCTCCACTGACTGCTTTAACTGTCTCACCTCCTCACGCAATCTCTGCAAAAGGAACAAAGAGACTCTTAATCACCTCCCACCTCAATGTGCGAAGCACTTAGTGTTATGCATAAAAAACCTCATTACAGGCCTCGTGAAAAAACAAAAACATCACGTAACTTCTCGCGTTACCATGTATAAGCATCCTTCGGCAGGCACAGCCAAAGGAGAAAATACAAGACGACCTAGCAACGTTCAACAATTAACGATGACCCATTATCATAACTCATAACAAACATCCAAAGGCCACATCAGCCGAAGGAAAAGACAAAACACAAATGACACCTCGCTGTCACCATTCGTAACCATCCCACGACCGCAAAAAGGCTGAAGGAAATACAAATAAGCGAATTCACGGCGTCTCTCTAGCCAAAAGCTAGATGTCACCGCCGAACAAAACGGCCACGTCGCTTGTACAATAAGCGAGTCCACAGCGTTCCTCTAGCTAAAAGCTAAACGCCCAACGCTGGTCCGTCAACCAACCACCGCCGAACAAATCGGCCACCTCGCCTGTACGGTTTGTAACCATCCAACGACCACAAAGGCCGAAGAAAATACAAACAAGCGAGTACACGGCGTTCCTCTAGCCAAGAGCCAGACGCCGACCGCTAATCCGTCAACTAGCCACCGCCGAACAAATCGGCCACCTCGCTCGTACGGTTTTGTAACCATCCAACGACCACAAAGGCCGAAAGAAATACAAAATAAGCGAATCCACGGCGTTCCTCCAGCCACAAGCCAGACGCCGAACGCTAGTTCATTAACTAGCCACGCGGAATAGCCCGACAATCTTCCGAAAAGATTTCGATAACAGGCCGCGATCGGGCCAAAGCTGTCCGTTATTCTCTCCACCATGCTGTGTGAAGAACCTGAAAGATACGACAGACAAGAGAAATATGCCACGAAAGAATTCATAACAACTAAAAGAGAACTACCTCCACTGCCAGTTCCTGAGGCTGAGCGACATTAACATTCTGGTTGCCATCCGGTAGATTCACAACCGGCGGATTCACAACTAGCGGGTTCACGACCGGTGGATTCACGACTGGCTCTACAGGATCGACAAGTAACTGAACGTTCGGCTCCGGAGGTTGACCCTCAGCCATCAGGAAATCGTCAAGAAAATCGCGTGGGTCGTATCTTCCAAAAGAAAAGAGACCAGCTCTTCGCGGCTCCGCTGAAAAACTGAGCAAGAATGGTTTATTTTCGCGCCAAACCAGAATTTATTATCGGTAATTACGTAATCGCAAGTGAGACCGCTAGACTAGCCATGAAAGAACCCATTATTGAATTATTTTAACCTCGCATATCATTACGAGTGTTGTGAATAGTTAAGTATTAGAATGAGGAAAAAGAATACTGAGTTCTGCGAACGATAAATATCGTTATACTTTACCTTTTGATCAATAAAATAAATAAAGAAGACTGATCTCCGAAGTATTTCTGTGTGTTTTTGTGAATTTATTGATTTAGTCGACTTCTCGGTTCATAAGGCAGGGGCACCCAACGAGAATATAATTCAGAACCACTCAAACCAACCTCGTCCCCAGGGCTTTTCCCTTAAAAACCCTCTTTTTAAGGGAAAAGCCCTGGGGACGAGGTTGCACTCAAACATAGCATTGTTAAACGAATTTTAGTATTTAAATGGTAGATTTTTATCCCCTAAAAATTTTTCATCTGCTCGGATTTCCCAGGTGAAAGTCTAGTGATTCGAAAATTATAGGGATCAAAACTTACTTTTTCGAAAATTTCAGCAAGAAAAAAGGCTCCCGAAAATTGTAGGTGACCTTTTTAGGGTAAGAATCCGTTAAAAATGGGCAATTATACCCATTTTTAGATGTTCGAAAATCCTACGAGAGGCAGACTAGCAAGAAATTTGGCAAAAAATGTTCAGAAAATTCTAGATCCCAAATCGTCTTCCGAACAGATATTTTCCGAAAATTGTCGTTCGGTGGCTCTGATAAGAGGGAAGTGTAAAATGCAGACTGCGGACTATTGTTTTTAAGGGTTAGCAAACAATGGGACTATTGTTGTCGTGTTCTCCTTTGCATGGTGAAAACAATAGTCCACAGTCTACGTTTTACACCGACCGATTCATAAGACGAAGTCAAGACGGCACAGAAAAGCAGCCGGCGATCCGGACCTTGTCTACTCGAAGGCGGTTTGCGGCCCAAGAAACCCACTGAATGTCGCAGATTTTTCCGATCATAGGTAAAGTTCTATCATCGCCTCAGTAAAATTTTTATTGGCAAATATCCCCTCGCATGTTGCTGAAAATGGGCATTTTCCCCGGGGGGGGCACTTGGGTATTTTTTGGGTGGGTATGTGCCGCCCGGGACTCCAAATTGGCACCCCGTTCTAAAAACAATTTTCCCTAAAATTGATACCCCGTTCTAGAAATGGGCCAATTTTTTATACCCCGTTCTAGAATTCGCCCTAAAACTGATACCCCGTTCTAGAAATGGGCCAATTTTTTATACTCCGTCCTAGAAACTTTGTAAATTGAAATAGCCCTGTTTTTTTAAAAAGATATTTCTTTATTTGTTCGACTTATACATCAAATAAATGCTTCTTCATAACCGGCAACAATTTTAAGCAGAAGATAAGGCTGTGATCCACAATTTTTTATACCCCGTTCTAGAAAACGCCTCTGAAATGGATACCCCCTTCTAAATCAGGAGCTTCAAAATCACCACCCCGTCGGGCGGCACATACCCGTATAGCTAATGTATGGGAGTACCCCCCCCCCGGGGCATTTTCTCACGTCGCCCCGATCATGTCCAAAATACCTTCTTTCGGCGAACGTGCTTGAGATTTTGAAAGTGGACACAGGGCTTGGGTCCAGGTTCAAATTTCTCTCGACCGAGGGTGGTTCAGTCAACAAAGAAACCCTCACGAAATGCTTCCTGTTGTTGTTGTAGCCTGGATATAACAGTTTTACCTGTTAAAGTTATAAACCCAAGTAATGCTCCAAATTTTCACGTGAAAACGAACTAAACATCTTGAAATTAAATTTCAGTGAAGTTGTTTGAGCTACCCTTCTTCACAGAAAAAGTCTAAATAAGTATAAGTTTGTGGAAAACTTTTTCAAAAAGAACTATGTCAATCGAATTATACAGCATGATTTATAATGCCATCACGAAATTTATCGACCTTTGCCGCCATCTTGAAAATTCTGCATTCACATTGCATAGCAATCCCAGTGCGCACACCGCCCGCCTTCTTTTGGTCACGTGGTCTGTATTCCGGTTATTTGTTTGAAGCTATCCCCCGCCCGATTCCACAACACCCCACCCCCGACTCGATTAGTTTTGGGGCACTTATCGCTGATTTACACCCTATCGTTGATTTCAAGTCTCCTGAACTTCGGTATTGAAAGTACAATCTTCCGTGTTCGAAATGGCTGTTGATATAGGATGGTGGGTGATTAAATTTCGCGATGATATTCAACGTTATGTCCAACAGTTTGGTGTTTCAGATATTGATACATTCTTCAAGAAAAAATTGGAGAGTTGGCAAGACATCAAGGTGAATATAGCGATTACTGGCTACGCTGGAACTGGAAAATCGAGTTTCGTCAACAGAATACGAGGGTAAGTATATTGAATATATTATAAATGTTACATATTCAAATTTGGTAAACGAGACATACGTATACTAGGTTCGTCTTCTAATAGTACGTGGAAGTAATTGCAGCTTCAATAATAAATCTTATCACATCGTGACACATATTCACAACTCAATAATGATGCAATCAATTAAGCTCGCTTTCATGCTCTCTCTTGTTTAAAACCAGACACTCATAGAAAAGCATTGCTCGTGAAATATATAAATTATTTAAAGCAGTTTTATTTTTAAGATCTCCATTAAAGCCCTCGTGTACTTTAAAATTTTTGCGCCCCACTTTTGTTTCACTTTAACCTTGAAGTTTGCAGGTTAAAGTGACTCGATGCAAGTCGAAGCAATAAATTTTAAGAAAATATGACCTTTTTCTACTCAAAACTGATAAGAAAAAACCAGAACTGGACCATAAGAACTAGTGGACGATGGTGGGTGTATTGTAGTAGCAACCGCGTTATTTGCATGACGCTGATATATTACAATGTATCTGTAATGATGATGAGCGGGTTATCCGTTTTTTTTAAGCCGACTTCTATCCAATTCCTAGAATTATTTCTAAGGTTTGTTTAATAAAAAGTATATGTATTTTATTTTTTCTTGCGTAGCCGGCCTATCCAGTACAATTGTGGACGGGTTTCATTTTCGAACGCGACTGGCCCATACACAATTTATTTCCTCTAGACAGATGGTGGATCTGATGGTGACCCAAGTCAATCTAAGTCAGTTTTAAGACCCCTTATTTGAGAATTTACTCAGCTTAATCGTTCAATTTCTTACGTGATTCAATTAATTAGATACAGAATACCAGGAGCCCATCACTAGGCTTCTGAGAATACTCATTTTAAAACGACCATCTTCAAAGTGCTTTATGAATTCATGATTTAAATTCCTTCAGGGTCAATCCTCAATGCAATGAACGAAAAGCACGTAACTCAAAACTCTTCCGGTTTTTCCGAGAATTCTGCTGAGCCTCACATGTTTTTCATGACAGCAGGAGCCCGAAAAGTAAACATTTGCCACAGTTGAATACAACTGACACGATAAAAGACAACGAGACACATCACACATGACTCAAGGCCGCTTATTTACCCTTTTTCAAATGGAGAGTAGACTTGCTACAAGTCGACCTCTTTGCGAGCGGAGCGAGCGTTTTTTGGCCGCAACGACGAAGGACTTTTTTGGAAGTCTAAATGGAGAGAAGTTGCTCGCAAGCTATTTTTGATTCGGATATTTCACTGATCGGACGGTCTTCCTTCACGCTCTCTTTCCACTAGACGTACCCACAATTTATTTTTTTAAGCTAGGAAAATTCGACGAATATAACCCTATCAAAACGGTCTTTTAGTTGATTGGAAAGTCTTCTCCTCTACGATAAAAAGATAACACAGTCTATTTTGGTCCCTGAACTTTCAGAAAAACAATTAAATCAAGCAGCATTAAAAACCACAGGTAACCCAGGCTCTGTGATAGTACCACAGTACGGTTCCAGTAAAATTACAGTGTTTGCATGGGGTAAAAATAGGATCCCAAAAATTTAAAGGAAATACTAAACAAAATACTCTGCGGTTAGTTGTTGTTGTCCTTAATGCTCCAACGAAGTTTCGTGGTAATTTGTTCAAATTCACTCTATATACAAATAATATACAAGGTAGGAGACACGAGATGGCATCTTCGCCGCCATGCTCTGATTCAACACAACTTTTTCCACGAATTCGAACTCCAACAGAAAATAAACATGCCAGGATCGTAGTAATAGGATAGCAGCAGATATAGAAACCAATGAAGCTTTCCCAGATAGAAAAACGAATCCCGCAGACTTTGACAAACTCGAAGGATATAATTCAAAAAGGCCGAGAATATGCTCGCCGAAGTAGCCGGGCCAGATCAACGCGCGGCCAAGAAAATGAGGACTGTGCACTGTACAAAAAAATCCTTTTTATTTCAATTTTATTTCAAAAGTTAGGACAAGAAAGTATTTTTACCCTCCAAACACCTTCCATGGCTATTCTGGTTGTTGAAGGATCTTCACTTCGCATTGCAACCTCGTTCTCAGTAGCCTCTCACTTCAGAGAACGGCAAGAAGAAGAGCCCTTGTGAACCGGGTTCTTGGAAAGTGGTAGCTGTGGAGGGGACAACAGAATTGTACGTGTTTCGAGTTTGTAATGACTGCTAAACAAGAGAACTGAAGACCCAATGAGTTATACTCCATCTGAAGTACAATGTATTCACCATGGAAGAGAAGAAGACATATTTACAACTCTTTTTATTGTTTGTTTGTTTGTTTGTTTTGTCAGTTAAATTTACACCAATAGGCAATTTTTCCTGCCGACATTGGTGAATATTTTCACTTCAGGTCGATTCTTACGCTGTATCATGCGCCATTACTGTTTGCATTTAGCGATAATTTTAGTACGCAAATCACGCACACTTAAAGTACTTAGTACAGTCCATCCTGTCTTACGCAGCCACCTTTAAGGAATGACTATATAACTGACTGTAAACGTTGAAATGAACTGCAGAAATCGCTCGTTTTTACTTTTTGTGAGACTTTCTTTTTTGTTTTCGCAATAGTCAAGTGTACGATTAAAAGGAGTGAATGGCAACTTTAAGGTTCTTTCCTCAAGAAACTTCCTCAAGAAGCATCTCCTCCTTAAGTATACGGGAGTTGAATTTGATGCGCCACCCTGCGCCGAGCATGAGTACATTCCGTGTTAATTTTGATAGCTCTTGAAATTAATGTTAATCACAGAAATCGTTACATTTTCAATAATTTCTTTCTCAGACTTAAAGACTGCGACCCAGGAGCAGCCAAAGTTGGCTTCTGCACTGATTACACATCTCAGCCGAAACCATATCCTCATCCAGATAATCCAAACATTATATTTTGGGATTTACCAGGAATAGGGACCGATGAATTCCCCGCAAAGACGTACTGTCAGAGAGTAGATTTGAAAAAGTATGACTCATTTCTGATCTTCACGGCGAACAGATTCCGCAGGGAGGATTCAATTCTGGCCGAGGCCGTTTCATCGATCGGTAAGAAGTTCTTCTTCGTCCGCTCGAAAATAGATCAAGACATTGAAAACGAGACTGACATATTAAGTACTCCTGAATCATTCAATGAAACGAATTTCCTCGAAAAAGTGCGAGTTGAGTGTTTGAATAAACTGGGTGACCGACTGAGCAATAAGCAGCATATTTTCCTGATAAGCAACATGTACCCCAAAAAATGGGACTTCAAAGATCTGGGACAAGTCATTCTAGATATTTTGCCAACAGATTTGAGCGAGTGTTTGACCTTGTCCCTTGGCGTTCTAAAGAGCTTGTCAACTGAAACGTTAGAGAGAAAAGTCGCAGTCCTCAAAAGACGAATATGGCTGGTTGCAGGGGCTTCTGCCGCGGTCGCATTGGTTCCGATTCCTGGTGTTTCTACAGTGGCTGATCTCGGTCTGATTGTCACAGAAATGGAATTTTACAGATCCCAGCTTGGTCTGCCTAAAGATAGACCAGATAAATTTGAGATGCTGACCGAGCCCACTCAAGTCAAAGCCAAAATGTACCTGAAATCTCTGGAATTAGCTGTAAAAGGTACCGGATGGTTGGCAGCCTATGGCAGAGAAGCAGCTGCTAAGGAACTGGTTCGTTTTCTTCCATTCGCTTTAGCAACAGCTAGTGCAATGTCATGTGGTACTACGTACTATGCACTTTTGCATTGTTTGGAAACAATGGCAGACGTGGCATTTGCCGTCCTTTGCGAAGCCACCGAAAAAACGGCCGAAGATTTGCCAGATATAGATTAATTTAACATTCAATGTCTTTTTTATCTCTGTAAAGTACGTACTTACAACCGCATTTGCTGAAGGTAACTCTCCGCTTGAATCAAGTTCTCGAATATTACAACAGTAGCCAGAATGGGTGATTTTTTACGCTAGTAAATACAGGTGTAGCCCCATGTAAGGGGATCCAGGATAGTCTCACGCTTAGATTCCGGATTCCACGCCGTGAATTCCGCATTCCAATTGCTGGATTATGGATTCTTTGTCAGTGGAACTTTGCCTATTTCGGATTTCAATCATTAGAGGAACCCGAATTCCTTGAGCTGTATTCCGGATTCCCCGAGAACAATTTCCCCGATTCCGCAATCCTGATTCACTTACATAAGGCGACGGTAAAATACCAGGAAAAAAAACAACAACAGTAAAAAAAAAAAAAAAAAACCAAGAAAAAACAACAATTAAACTACCCAGTATCTTGTTGTGCCATGAACTAACTATTCAACGTTAAAACAGAGGAAGAATGAAAATCGAGTAAATTGTGGTCCTCTCAAGACGCGCGTTAGCCATCGTACTATCGTGTTCTGTCATTGCTTTTAGTATTAAGCGGTCACTCTCGAGAAATAGCCAGCATTGAAAGTAAATTCTGAACATCGTAAAGAACAAGTTTGGCCATGTCTAAAAAACTTATGCATTTTTTTAGTACTGGTAGTAGCAGCAGTAGACTTGATCTAAGTATCTAGTGGGTATTTTAAATTAGTATTATGAATAGTTAAAAGTTTAAATATTTTAGCGGGAAATTGGAACGTTTTCCTATATATTTAAAGGACTAGCGTAGAAGTAATGATTGAAAGGAACTTTAAATGACGACTTTTTTGAAACTTATCTTGTGATAATTAGAGGTCTGTCTATTGTACTTTAGTAAGTGACAATGCGGAGATTTTGAAGAACATAATAACGGTGATAAACCTTCAAGGGTAATAGAAGTTGGTTCGAAAAATCGAAGGTGGAATTGAATCACAACTGTTCTACTATAGTATCAGTTGTGTTATAAAAACCGTGAAGGCCTGAGAAATCAACAGTATATCAGTCTCGCTTGTCAATGTATGTACCCTGTGTATTTACAAACAAAACGAACAATTGTACCGTAAAGTAATAGATTGAAGCCAACTTAGAGAAAGAAAAATAGTTACCTTGCGCAGGACCTAACACTGCATTTAACCTGCTAATAAGCTCTTTCTTTGAAATAAAAAGTGATAACGGGTAATAATCTCTTGCTTCTTTTCAACCCAGAAACTTCGGCTATAAGATGCCTGAAATGATTCTCGATTGTGTCGTACAACGTCGCCATGTTCCCTTGTGAAAGAAAAGTGGGAAGCTCAACAACAACACCAGTGTGGACGAAGCTCACTTCCATGAATACCACTTTACACGGAACATCTCTAATGAACCTTTCGCTGGTCATTGCTGTGAAAAAACATTAGGGAAATTAAGATAGAGACGTTTTCGGGGCGACGGCGACCGGACTGGCAGAGCAATCCTGGAACAGAGGTAGCCGTCGGTTCCCTCCAAAATTGGAACATTAAGATCGCAGTGAACTCAGGTGGACGGCGCCTTGGAAGACTACCGAAGAGGAAAATATGGCTTCACATAAAGAACTAAGAGAATTAATGCTTAATTGCTTGCATGCAACAACAACAACAATAACTTTATTTCAGTATTCCCACGTTAGTACGTGGTATTACCACTAACGAAAAAAAAGTGAGCTAAAACACACAATTAAAATATCGGCGTTCATATTTTTTTGTCGGGATACTTTTATTTGGCTCATAGGTCAATTTTGTCCATGTAAAGCTCACTTAAAGTTTGCTGTTTGCCATATTGGATCAGATTGGATCTTGACTCTGTGACATGAAACATAGAAACATTATAAAGATGTAAGTTTAGATAACAGAGCTTGGAAATCGAGCTTGAAATGTGACTCAAAGAAAACAAGGACAATTTAAGGACGATAATCTGCAAAATCCTGGTTGCTAAATGCAACAATCCTGATTGAAATGAGAGTTAAATACTCACGTTCTCGCCACAACGCCAAACAGACCAGTTTCACGTCGCCGACGGGAGCACGACGGCGATGTGGTGAGCAAGAGCATGCGCAATAGTGCACAAATCATGACAAATCATGACGTCACGTCCGGTTGAAGTTGCCGTCGCCCCGAAAACAGGGCGCTTAAGCAACAACGACGACGACGGCTACAAAAACGTCACTTAAAAATTGAATTCGCGCCCCTTCAAACTTTATCGCGCTTATTCCATCTCGTTTACTTCGTCAAATGTTGGCAACTGTTTTTGGAGTTGAATTCTAAAGGACTGTATCAAAGTTCAGGAAAAGAAAAGAAAGTTGTTGTCTTGTGTTCCCGTCCTCGACAAGACGTGAATTCAGGCACTTTCACGTTGTAGTCGGGCAACGACGGCCAAGAAATGTACAAAAAAAGCGTGATGCACGTGCAAAGTTGTTGTTTTGCTAATCAAACCTATTGCTTTTTTTGCCGTTCTCGTTGCCGTCCGCGTCGTCGTTGTTTAAGCTCCCCAACGTCTCCATCTTAAGTTCCCTATTCATTTCACTGCAGTAACGACATTCATTTTCGTTCTTTACAAAGTCATTAACCTGGCAGTTTTGCATATCCATATTGTTACTTGTGGCGACGAATTACGACGGCAGAATTATTTTCTACAAAAAGGAGACCACCAGATTCAAAATGAGAGCGGAAATCGTGGGAAGAGAACTTTGCGATGGGTCTCACTTTCCAGACCGCGGGTTTTCTTCTGTCGGCTGTGTCTGAAAGATCTGTTGTTTACGGTCCTGAATCCAGCTTATGTCCCTGAAATCTACCCTTGAATTCGTCTTACACCGAGGCAACTCTAATTTCTCCCACGGAAAGACTGGAGACTGGTTTAGTTCTGTTCCGTACATCGGCCGTTGCAGCTTTAGCCTTTACACTGCTTTTGTTTGAATAGGTCAGCACACAGCACCACACACAAACATACAACCTCTTCGGCTTTATCTTTAACAATTGTGGTTCGCCACTTACTTGTGGATTCTGTATGTGAACTTAAACGTTTGTTTTCCATCCAATCTGACGGCCAGTAAAGAAAAAAATTAGAAAAGGAAAGAAAGAAAGAAAGGAAAAGAAGTCTACGGGAAAGGGAATTTGTAGCCGGTCACCTATCCATTGACCTCGCCCGTCATGGCTTAACTACAATTCGGGACATTAGAACTTGGTTCAATCGAAGGAATAGCGTTGACATGTTGTGCTCGACCTCCTCTTCCCTTTCCCCTCAATGTTGGCCTCGAACTTGAACAATTCCACCAAAAAACCATTTCAAAACAACATTGGAAGAGAGAAAGACATGTATCAGAGCAGTGTGACCCAAGTACTGTGTCAGAGATTGTTGCTGCAAATTACTGACATAAATCCCTCCGTATGTAAGCCCCTCCGAATATAAGCCCCCAAAGAGCCTTTGAAAAAAAAAGTCCCGGGGCTTATTCTCGGAATGTTACGGTATTTTTCCCCTCCATGAGCTGTTTCAACAAGGTGATAACCAAGTCCTTTTATCAACAGTTACACAACAATGAAAGTTGCTCTAGAGTCGTTACAGAAGCTTCAAACCTGGCTAGTTTAGCTCCTAATATTTCAGATAATCGATTTAATTTGCAACTAAAGCGGAAAGTCAGTTTAAATGTAAAAAATAAAAAAATATATCATAAATTCTAAAAAAAGCAAAATGTACTAGTAACTATAGGAAGCAAACCTACATTGCTTTTTTCTTTAAAAGCACATAACATACTACCATTTTTTTAAATGCTTTGCCATTTAAAATTTTTTTTTTACCATTCTTATGAGACTTACTCTTAGTTGAGTTCAAAAGAGTGGCTCCTTGTAAGTGCTTATCAGCAAGAGTTTTTTTAATTTTCGGGTGAAAATTTACAGGATACCTAATTTTAATATGCTCTCTCAGTTTCTGCTAACAATTTTCTTTCAAAAGCGAACTGCCTTCGTGTTTACAGAAAGTTAATCACGTGATCAACTAATCCAAAAGGTCTATTATTCACCAACCTGTTCTCTTCCACCTCATACAGGGTGTTTCAAAAGTTCGTTCCGATTGTGAATTGTATTTTGAGCAAAGCATTTAATTTATCTTCAGGCAAATGTAAACTGATTCAGGTAAGAAATTTATCTAAATAACCGTTCAAAGCAATTTCAAACTAAAATTTGAAGAAATTATAATTTTTTTAAATTTTTTGCCCCACTATAAGACGCAGACCTCCCTAATACGTAATACTTTTCCTGCCCATTTTGTAGGTTTTCTATTTTGGTACTTTTATCGTTTTCTTTTATTTTCTCTACACCTTCATGAAAATGAAGGCCTCCGCCGTTTGTGCTAGAGCTCAGGTATCTATTTTTATGGTTTTCTGGCCATTCAGTCCAAAAAAGTGCCAAATTGTTGAAGAAGTCTGAACGATGACCGAACAAGTGGTCAAAAGTAAATACAAAGAGGACAAACCAAGGAGTGGATGGCTGTTTCTTCACAAAAAGTGTGAGAAATATTATCGAAAAAGCTGTAAGTATATGCGTAATAATTCGACAAAACAGAAAGGTAAAAACATTTCAACTTCACATTATAGATCAAAGTTTCGAGCACAACGGTATAGGGATAAGTTACCAAAAACAGTGGAAAGCCTTGAAGAGAAAAAGGCGGTGCACACTTCATGCAAGCGTAGTGTCAGAAGGATTTGCCAACTTCATACCAAAGGAGGACCGGCCGGCAAACTCACGTGATGTGAACCCCCTAGAGACCATCTGGATTCTCGTAGACAAGACAACTTACAAAGAGCCAGCCCCAAAACACTGGACGAGCTAAGTCAATGACTACGCTTCGCCTGGAAGAATGTGACTTTGGACACGCTTTGGGAGCTCGTACAGTTTATGATCTTTTATACCTCACCGCTTAGAAAATGTCAGAAA